CTCTTTCTTCTGGTGGTCGACTGGATTATGAAGACTTCGACATCTGAGGGAAAACAAGGCATACATTGAACAGCCCAGGACCAATAAGACGATTTGGACTTCGCAAATGACCTAGTTCTCCTATCGCATACACATGAACAAATGCAAATAAAGACAGCTAGTGTAGCAGCAGTCTATATTATCAGTAGGCCTCAACATACACAAGGGGAAAACCAAGGTCATCAAATACAAAACGGAGAACGGTAATCCAATCACTCTTGATGGCAAAACTCTGAAAGACGTAAAATCTTTCACATACCTCGGAAGCATCGTTGATAAATAAGGAGGTTCAGATGCGTGGATTGGCAAAGCAAGAGCCGCTTTCCTACAATTGAAAAACATATGGAACTCAAAACAACTCTCAACCAATATGAAAGTGAGGATCTTTAATACGAATATCAAGGCAGTTCTATTGTACGGAGCTGAAACTTGGAGAACTACAACAACCACAATCAAGAAAGTACAAGTATTTATAAATAGTTGTCTACGCAAGATACTCAACATCCATTGGCCGGATATCATCAGCAATAGCCTTCTGTGGGAGAGAACAAACTAGCATCCAGCTGAAGAGGAAATTAAGAAAAGACGATGGAAATGGCTAGGACATACATTACGCAAATAATCAAACTGGATCACTAATCAAGCCCTAACTTGAAATCCTGAAGGGAAGCGGAAAAGAGGAAGGCCGAAGAACATGTTACGTCAGGAAATAGAAGCAGATATGAAAAGGATGAGTAATAACCGGGAAGAGCTGGAAAGGATTGCTCAGGACAGGTTCGGATGGACAGTGTTTGTGAGCGGCGTATGCTCCTTCACGAGGAGTAACAGGCGTAAGTAAGTAAGTAAATACAATAGATGTACATAACAGACGATTGTATGTAAACAAACTATTTCTCGAAAACGCCATCGTAAAAGTTATCTTATGCGATAGTCTATTAGACTGCCTACATCTCATAGAAGAATGTCGAAGAAATCATAAATCTAATCTAAAATAATTGTTTATATTCCAGAGTCTATTTTTTTCTTTTTTCTTTGACTTTGTGCATGTTCTCATTTATGTAGAACAAACTGGTTTCAGAGTTTATCATTTTATGTGAAATATAGAGTTCGTTTAGAATGAATGAATGAATGAAATAACAAACAAATTCAGACAAAAAGAAGAAAAAACAATATTATAAAATCTTTACTTAATAAATTGATGAAATTTATGTAGAACACCCGAATACTAGAAGTTTAATTAGTGAATAGTAACAAAACTTAATAGTTGAATTCATGAGTCAATTGGACCTAAACAACCATGGAAAACCTAGAAGCACTAGATGATTGTTTCATCCCATATGGGATTTTGCAGTGACAGTACGCATCCATGATCCCGCCCCCGCGGGATTCGAACCGAGAACCTATCAGTCTCGCTCACGAGTGCTTAACCTGTAGAATAAAACTGACAAGTAATACCTATTTAAACATTGAAGACACGAAGTTCAGCGAAGGGATCTACTTTCAACGAATTTATTATCAAGCTGTACAATCGTGTATATAGATATATGAAAATGTTTTGTTAAATTACTAGTTCCGTGTGGAAATGTGAACAAGGAATAACCAAGATTATGTAACAGAAGATTATAATACTAGATTACGTAATACGAATAATAATAATAATAATGATAAAGGCCAAGACAACTATAACGACAGAACTTACTTCTTCTGTACGCATAGTTCTGGCTTGAGCTCAAGGATGGTAAGGTCTTCGGTTATTTTTCAGGAGTTGAGTACGAAGAAATCTAGGTAAATTTAAACGAATCGTATATACAACTTTAAATTCAAACTATAGACTGGCAGAACAACTACAGTCGACTAGATTTTCAAGTATGGAACTCCTAATTGCTTTTCTCTCACCTTTGTAAAATCACACTGGGACATGTTCCCTTATGCGAAATTAAATTGTAGTAAATAAATATGTATATCTACATGGATATTAGCGGTTACTTTCAATTAACATTAAATGGAAACATTCGAACACTTTCTACGATATTTTATTATTTCTAAGGCATAAAAATATAATAGGACGAAACGTCCGTCCAATGCTTCCAGGTATTCCATAGTGGTCTATCTTCAATTGACTCATGAATTCAACTGCATCAGATCCACCTTGTTCATCAACGATGCTCCCTATATATATATATATATATATATATATATATATATGATCTTTGTAGAGAATATGGCTGTGAAATATAGTACAATTTAGACGTGATCAGTAGTATATGCGTGCCTTAATATTTGGCACTATAAAATTACTAATATCTCCACAAAACCCATCTTCTGATAACAATATAATTAATAATCAGAGTGCTTCATCTCTTAGTCAAATACTACCTTAGTCAATATGTCTGATGAAACCAAATGCGGAGTGATTATTGAATAGTGTTTTTTTTTCAAGATAGGCGTCGTTGACTACTCCATGGTTAAATATTTATTACTACCGATGTGGTGTAAGCTACTTATATCCACATAAGTAGTACGTAACGATATTCAAGAATAGAATGAATTTCAGCAGAAGGTCTAAAAGGAAACAACGGAAACAGAGAGCGATTGGTATGCAAATGGATGAATAATGAAATCTGAGACAACTGACTGGTATTTACAAAAGGAACAGTGAAGTTTGAGACAATGGATCGATATTTTGCAAATTAAGTATTCACTGTCTGATTCTCAGACTTTACCAAGAGGTTCTGTAATGTTGAGATTCGAAATATTCGATTGTTTCAACTTGAGTTCTTGTCCAGTACACTGGTTATTTCTACCAGTGTGCTGAAAAAGAAATAATGGTTCTTAAATGTGGAACTTTATAAACCGGAGGGTTTTAAATTCAATATTGTTGTATTCTTGAAACATTTTAATGACTAAAGTTTTGTGTTTTAGCATGATTTTTACCATTTCAAAGTTCAAACCGTATTTGAAAATATTGATACAGTCAAAGCAATATTTGAGTCAATGTCTAAAATGAAATAGTCTGCATAACTAACTAGCTTAATTATTTACTTACGCCTGTTACTCCCACCAACTGGCATTCTGCAACCCACTCTGTCCTGAGTCTTCATTTCTAGTTCGATCCAAGTGTTGTTCATTCTTCTCATGTCTGTCTCCATTTATCAACCTAATGTGTTCTTCGTTCTTCCTCTTCTCTTTTGACCTTGAGGATTCCGAGTGACGGATTGCCTAGTAACGCAGTTTGGTGTTTTTTTCAATGTGTGTCCTATCCACTGCCAGCGAATCTTCCTGACTTCTCCCTTCGCTGGGATCTGGTTTTTTCTCTCCCACAGTAGGTTGTTGCTGATAGTGTTTGGGCAACGGATCCGAAGTATTTTGAGTAGACAATTGTTAATAAACACTTGTATCTTCTAGATGATGGCTTTCATAGTTCTCCATGTTTTCGCCCCATACAGTAAAACTGTCTTGACATTTGTGTTGAAAATTCTGACTTTGGTGTTAGCTTACGGACAGTTGTTTTAGTTCCAGACGTTCTTTAGTTGTAGATATGCTGCTCTTGCTTTGCCAATTCGTGCCTCCACCTTGTTCATTAACGATGCTGCCTATATATATGGCTGTGAAATATAGCACAATTCAGATGCGATCAGTAGTATATGAGTGCCTTAATATTTGGCACTATAATAGGCAAAAAGCACAAATTGATAGTAAGTGTACAGGTGTACGAGTAGACATAAGAATAATGAAATAACAAAAGAAATCTATAATCTGTAGTTCAGCATAGAAATTAGGTCACACTTTGGTAAATAGATATTAAAATAATAATTCGATAAATTATTGAGATTGACTAATTTTTACTACGACTATGACCAGTTTTGTTTGGTGGATTTTCATCCTTTGAGTTTTATGGTTTAATTATGTAACTTCCATTGTTCTTCTGAATAACATTGTCAATACAAACTTCGGATAGAAATGACATGTTCAAATTACTCCAATTTACAATATCGAGCTGTTTATTATCTTGACTACATCTTTGGTTAATCACTCTCTGAGAGTTGTTCACGAGTTTTGAAATGTGAATTCTTAGAACTTCGGTCATTATAACTCATTCAACAAAAGCAGTCTAATTGATAATTGTAAAATTCTGATTAGGACAACATTTGTTACTTAGAGGATTGCTCTATCTACATAAGTAAACCAATAATGATATTCGGGCACTATATCATAGAGCATATTTTAAATTCAGATTTGCAAGTATCCCAAGGTATTATTGCTATTAAGTAATATGAAGTACTTTGTTAAAAAGTAATACATCACTAACAATCTTTTCAAAACGACCTATAATTAGTGATTAGTCATATTGTACAAACATCAATGAACACGACTGTGAACATTAAATACATTTATAGTACCAGAAGATACAAGTGTTTATTAACAGTTATCTATTCAAAATACTTCGGATCCGTTAGTCAGACACTATCAGCAACAACCTACTGTGGGAGAGAACAAACCAGATCCCAGCGGAGGGAGAAGTCAGGAAGATTCTCTGGCAGTGGATAGAACACACATTGAGAAAAACACCAAACTGCGTTACTAGGCAATCCGTCACTCGGAATCCTCAAGGTCAAAAGAGAAGAGGAAGAACGAAGAACACATTAGGTTGATAAATGAAGACAGACATAAGAAGAATAAACAATAACTGGATTAGAACTAGAAAAGAAGGCCTAGTACAGAGTGGGTTGGAGGATAATGGTTGGCGGCTTATGCTCCTTGACGAGGGGTAACAGGCGTAAGTAAGTAAGTAAGTAAGTAAGTCATATATATGTGTGTATAACTATATGCATCACAGTCATATATTCAGCACTGTCAACAACGTTAACGTACACGTTGACTGTTCCAAGTCGAAATAATTCTTTTTTTCAAAAAACAAAACAAGTAATTTATTTTCTTTACAAAATCTCTATTATTTAAAGGCAACTAAACGACCAATTAATCAGAGAGAATTTGGATCTGGAACATCATTATAAATCGATATGTATGAGAACACAATGATTTCTATTGGCTATTCAATATTTTATATGCATATTATATGCACAATAAAAACATACTATAATTTCATCTGTTGTATGAACCAGTAAATGCTCAAAGGTATGTATCATAAGTGAGTTAAGATATTCATAAAGTAATCTAAACAACAATTGCTTAAAATATTGATACTGTTGCCTGATGTATATTATGCTGTAGTGTCGGTTACTATGTTAAACTTCGTGACAATCTATTCATATTACCTGATTCATGTTTTAACCTTGTTAATTATTCACTTATCAACCTTGACTATACTTATATGAGCACATATGTATGTGCACATCTTATTCTATTCATTACATGTCTGTAATTTATTTTGATCTGGCTATAAATATTGATTAACGCTTGATTAAATGGAGTCGGCTCACATGCCTTCTCCACTGCTCGTCATTTTGCTTCGCTCTCTCATCTCCTTTACCTTCGCTACGTCCTTCTGATTGTCTGTCCAGATCAATAATTGTACAAAATATACGTATTCGAAAATTCATTCTCGTATTCTACTTATTTAACTTCATTGCTCCCTAATACGAGTTAAGTGGATAATTATATACGAGGATAGGCGACATACATATATTTCGACAGCAAACATTCATATGATGTAATTAGAGTCAGATCTCGGGTCACTAAACTGCATTTTGATCCGTTTCTAGAAATTGATAGATCATTATATTGTTAGTTTAGTATTTAAGTGATAGTTTAACAAAATGTTAATAGGGAGTTTTTCTGTATTCCATTGTATATAAAGTGCATACTATATAGTAATGATTCACTGTTAAAGACCAAAGTTAAGCAAATATACAACACTTTTCTTTTTCAACAGGTCTCCAGCTAGTTGCTATAAATGAGGGAAACTATACTCGAATAGGGAATCTATTCAAAAGTTTATTTTCCTGATATTAAGTAACATTTAAAGATGTTCTATTACTATAATGTTTAATTAGTGAGCCATAGGTTTGAGGTGATTTTAAAGTTTAAGATGGTGGTTGGAGGTAGTCAACAGGAAACCCTGGACATAGGTTTCGTGCTGATTGGTACTCCTCAGCAAGGTGTACCTGTAATCTTGAGGGAACTGCTGCTCTGTGATGGATTCGATCCCGTGTCTCTTGTAGGACTGAGATGTGTTTACACTTGATTGATCACTGTATGGTAGTCAGTGTCATGTGTGTCAGGCCCTTTTTAGTGCAGATCGAATCCTAAATTGTCTTTAAATGATTAAGATAAGCGTAATTAAAGAGTGATAAGTTTGCGATTAATGAATTAGCAAAGATGGACTTGAATACAACATGTGTAAGCAAAGTTATTACCCACCCCAGTATTTGTTTGAGAAATATTTTAAAACTTGGAATCTTTGGATGGCGGTTTCCGTTCTAATATGGAACTCCTCAACCTTCTTCATTTTAATATCTTCGTGAAAGTATTGATAATAATGATATCTAAGAAGTAAATGTTTATGTATTCAGCTTTTAGTTACAAGTTTTGTATAAGAAGTAGTAATTATAGTCAGTTGCTTGAACATAAGTAAAAGAAGCGTCTTCTCAACCTACATGGTTACTGATTCGAAAGTGAATTTTTTTAAAATTGCGGATTCATGAAATAACCTGTTTAATAACATAATAAGATGTAGCCTCATAAAATAGATGTTTTTTTATTCTCTGTTTCAGTGAGCGAAAATAGCTACCGAAAATTCATGAGTCAGTTGAAGCTAGACCACCATGGAAAACCTGGAAGCACTAGCGGTCTAGCTTCAACTGATTCATGACCTTAACCATTGAAATTACTACAGTCTCCACAAAACCCATCTGATATTAATCAACATATGCTCACTAGTGACTGGCTTCACGAGGTATATCCTCGAGTTCTAGTGAGAAGAAGTGACCAGTGGAGCTCAAACAGGTCTGTTGTGAGATAGTAACTCACTGAAGATAATGGTGAATGTGTCGCTCAATTTCGTGGATTAGTTGAAGTTAGACATCAACACCATTGGATGCCGGCTCAGTGGTCTAGTGGTTAAGTGCTCGCGCGCAAAACCAGTAGGTTCTGGGTCCGGATCTCGCAGGGGGCGAGGTCGTGGTTGCGCACTGTTGAGGAGTCCCACAGTAGGACGAAACGACTGTCCAGTGCTTCCAGATTTTCCATGGTGGCCTAGCTTCAACTGACTCATGATTTTAACGATTGAAATGACTACAATCTCTACAAAACCCATCTGATATTAATTCTATTTTTTTTCTTTTTTAGTGCTAGAAACTAGTAAAGTCAATTGGAGACATGAAACCAATTCCAAAGATCTGTATTAAAATATCCAACTTGTCTGATAGTTTCCTTCTCTTTTTTTGTATTGTCTTATTTTGCATTGGTTTGCACATAATTTCTTATTTTCTTTTTCACTTGTACTCATACACATATCTACACACACACACACATACGCACATGCACACACACACACTTTCTTAGTCATAAGGTGTACACTAATGCATAGTTGAGTTCTTGTATACAAACTTAGATACTTTAATATAGATAAAAGTATTGATATGAACTTATTTTCAAATCCCTTTATGCATTGAGATGATTATGACATGTACACAAATCTTTTTATTTCATTTATGAATATATATGATATATTGTAGTAGATTAAAGTGTTTAACCCATTCTCTTATTCTCCTGGATACTATAAGCACGATTTTAATTCAAAAATTCTCTGTGTTACTGATGAGGTTTATTGATCAAGAAGAAGATGAATGAAATTTAAGAAACAAACAACGATAAGACTAGTTTACGTTGTATGAAAAAGTATTTATTTATTTGAACACATAAACATTGGTACAAGGAGGCACCAAACAGATATGCGCCACATAAATCATTCGATTTGTGTGAGGGCTGAGATACTGTCCGGGTGCCCAACACAGAAGTAAGTGGTTTTCTTAGGGGGCCACACCTGGAGCCTTCAACCTAAATTTCTGACCCACAAGGCAGTAGAGCATCGTAAGCAGATGCAGTCCCATGGTAGCCGGTGACCAATAATTGGTTCATACGCCATTTGTTCCCTCAGGATACTGGAGCGCATGTGCACCATTGGTTTGGGATCCAGTTAAAGCGCCGGACATTCGCTTTTCGTCCTCTCAATTTCGTAAATAAAAGTAGTGCCATGAGAAGGCAATGAGTAGGACTTCCCTGGCAGAGACTGTGTATGCGTGGCCATGTGAGAGCATTTCGAGAGGGAGGGTGGGCCCACCAGACTCTCGGCCATACCGGGGCATTCAAAATGTCCACTAGAATTTAGAAAGTTCCAATTTTATTTTTAACAATAACATTGTGTTTGTCACAGGTTTAATTGGTTACATTTAGAGCCTTAGATACACAGTTCTATTTCATATTCAAGTGACAGTAATGTTTGTTTTACAATGATAGTCGTAATAATAATGAATATAGGTGTGATACAATGTTACTAATAGATCAACAGTCTATAGTGGCTTTGCTTCGTTAATCGATCACCTCGATAACTGTTATGAAATCAATTCTCAACAGTGTTTAGAATCAGAAGGCAAATAGAAGTGGTAACTATAGTTTATTAGCGGATGACGCAGATCACAAAGCTATAAGCACATCGAGCATATTTGAAGCGGATAGGCTAATAAGTACATACGAGCAATTATATAGGCAAATGTAAGGACTAATAGTAGGATTTGAGTACATATATATACATGGGTAGAAGGATAAATCACTGAGTGATATTTAAGCAACCAATATTTTAGCTTGAGTCTGTCATGTGATCTAGTGATTATGACGGCGGTACAAAGAACTAGACCAAATGTTACTCTTCGAATAACCTATTGTCTGTTAAGTAAGTTAACAAAAAAGGGATTAACCATAATCAAAATTGATTCTAGGATAGTTGCTATAAATCTTAATTTGTTTATATACTTTTAGAGAATCCATTTAGTCAGTGATAAGGAAGTATATACATTCAATTATCTTAATAGTGATAATAATTATTACCGAAATCACAAATGAACTATTATGAATAGAGAACTAAATAAACATCATAGTAGAAATGAAAATTAATTGAATGAATTGTACTTTTCTTTGTGAATACATTTGATTGGAATATTCCTATTAGGTCTATTACACTTTTGGCGCAAATAGATATATACAATTGCTGAAGATTCCATTCATTCTCCTGGTATTGTATGTTTTCTATTATTACTTGTCTATATTGAAGTCACAATTAAATGTATAAAAAGACAATGTAGCGGTTAAAGTCAAATAGTTTTCCAATTGAATTGAATTGATAGTCTATCAGTTATTGATAGAGATAACATTTATAAAGGTAAATAATACCTAAGGAAAGGAATTTCCAAATACACAACAGATAAACACAGTTTATATGAGTAATTAATCATGTAATTTAACGGTTTCGATCATAAAGAAAGTTAAATAAATAAACATTATCAGTATTGGGTTTTAGAAATTACAGAGTTTTGATTGAGATCATGAGCCGATTAATGTTAGATCACTGTTTCCCTCAAATGCCTTGGTACGGCCGAGAGTGGGGAGAGTCCGTTCTCCCTCTCAAAATGCTCTCACATGGCCACGCGTATTTAGCCTCTGCCAGGGAAGTCCTACTCATTGCCTTCTCGTGGCGGGGGTATTGTGTACGAAATTCAGAGGACGAAAAGTGAATGTCCGGCGCTTTAACCTGATCCGAAACCAGTGGTGCACATGGCCTCCAGTACCCTGAGGGAACAAATGGCGTATGAACCAATTATTGGTCACTGGCTACCATGGGACTGCATCTGCTTACGATGCTCTACTGCCTTGTGGGTCAGACCTTTAGGTTAGAGGTTCGGGGTGTGGCCCCCTAAGTAAACCACCTGCTTCTGTGTTGGGCACCCGGACAGTATCTCAGCCCTCACACAAATCGAATGATTTATGTGGCGCATATCTA